CCCAGTTTTCGGCGGATGTTTGCATTCTACCAAAGAATGGGATAACGTTAACTAGCTTGTTGACAATTGGGTACCACTCATAGTTCCAGACGATAAGGGATTGCTTTCGAGCAGTCGGGTAGAGGGCTTCACGCAAGTTGGTCTCGTAAGTAGAGCCATCTTTCCTCTCGGCAATGCAGAGATCAGTACCGGAATCTAAGAAGCCCAGCTTCTCTGAGAGACCAATGTCGGCGATTGCATCAAGAGTGAAGAAGTTGGTCCAGGCTCGGAGGTCAAGCGTGAGGTCTTCTTTGTCGGGTGCGACTTTCCCAGACGACACGTCCGCAGAGGCGGGCGCGGTGCAGACTTTATCAAAATGCTTGAACATTCTTTGGACCTTGTCAGTCACCTTGTATTCCCACGTCTCCAGGTTCTTGAGTGCATATGCAGCGGAGAGGATCTTGCGCTTTCGGGCATGGTCAGGCTTATCCACAACATCTGCCAGATTGTAGTGGGTTCCGGAGGTGACCACATATGAGGGGTCCTTGATACACTTGGTGTTATGGCCATAAATGTCCTTGATGGCCCTGACATCGCCATAAGACAGCTGATTGGGCCCTGTTCGAATGACGGGGTTCTTCTTGTGCAACTCGCTCAATTCCATTGAACGGAAACCCCGCGAAGCCATGATCATGAATGGAACTGCTGAAAATCCGGAGAAGGGTGTGAGATTTGGGTATCTCCTCAAGCCTGAATGGATAGGTCAGCAGTTGCCAAGTCAACCGGAGCATTGAACTGGTCTCCCAGCAAATACCTTTTGGATCCCGAAGATATTCAATGTAAGGGATCACGAGGAAATAAGCCAGAAGGAACAAGCCTAGCCCAGCTGCATAGGGCGCAGCTGAGATGGCTGACAAGACAGTGATCATGTTGTGTGGAAGATAATACGTTGAACTGGAATTATAGGCTGTGCAATGCAGTGGAGTACCTTGTCTAGAAGCGACAAGTCCTTCTCCGAATTGGTTCGTCTCGAGCGGAAGGGATTTGGGAAAGTGGGAATGCTTGGGGTGTTGGTACTGCAGGATGGCGCTGGTTTAAATGTCATTCTAGCATGTGTCTTCGTACCCTCCATCATCGCGCACGATAGATATCTTCCTCCGGTTCCCCATATTGACCTCAAAATCCAAAGAGATCAGCAGATCCAAGCATCCAATAACCATTCCTGTCTTGTGGGTGCAGCGGATGCGGGGACGGGGAAATTTTCCCTCTCGAAATATCTCGGAATCGGGGAATATTCCCCGCAGGCGGGGGACAATGCTCAACGTTGATGAAAGATGATACAACATATAACATATATCAAAAATCTAAGATACAATGGCTTGTTGTCCTGTGGAACTTGAACAGCGCTTGATATCATGACGAGCCTGACACTCCGATGGAGTAGCTTAATCCATCCCACTTATTTAGTATCTCCTATCAGAGTGACTAAATGCGGAAAGGCATGGCTTTCTTTCAAGTGCTCTTTCGAGAATACAGTTTGCGAAATGCACATATACTAAGTGAAATTGATATCCATTCGAAACGGCCACGGGTATAATGGAGCAATAGAGGAGAACACAGAACGCCACCCTGAACCACAAGACTAAAACAATCCGAAATTGCCATCAAAAGTAAGCGGCAAGGTAGACAGTCCCTCGTCCATAATATTCCCTAACATAAACCAAGGATCACCAAAATTCGGGTCCATGCCGACCTCGGGTGCTATTCCCATCGGAGGGGCAAGCTGCATCCCAGCCACGGTGGACATGTCCGGGTATCCCTGGCCTTGGGCACTCGACGGTAAATCTGGGTAGTTCTGTGTGAGTTCGGTGGACGAATAGGATGGGTAGTAGCCCCTCGACTCGATCTGGTTCGAGTCTGGGGTCGGGAGAGTGGTTGGGTATGATGCGCCAGATGACCAGCTGGTTTGCGGTGGGTCTGGCCCAAAACTGGATGAGCCTGGCACAGTTGAGCTTGGACTGTGGTTGGAGGAATAGGGTTGTCCAGCTATTGAGCGTTGGGAGTTGGGATTGTTCGCTCGGTGCGCTGGGTCACCCATGGCTACTTCACTCAAGAAATGGAGGGGTGTCATGCCCGCTGTCATCTGCTTTCTTGGATTGGCAGACGCCGCGTTCGGGATATCATGGTTCTGATGCGCCTGCCGGCGATCGGAGGGTTTCTGATCATTTGAAAAGACCTCTTTCAATTCCCGGCCATGGTCTCCCTGGTCGCGCTTTTTGATAAACCAATTGCGCAACAAGACCATTATGTTTCCAAATTTCGCTGCTACACGACCACCATCACGCGCCGCGGCAGCACGGTAATGCGCAATGACTCTGTCCAGATAATAATCGAGTTTGAGACTTTGCACGTCGACAATCTGCCTGATTCGACTGTCCGGGGATATGAACAGTGAGTATATTTTTATCAAACTGACCACAGGATACGATGTCCGCGCTAATGATGTGGTAGGCAAGCATATAAGTCGGTCAATCTCAATGGCGCAAATGATGTCCAGACTCTCGTGAATGCAGCGGATGGCCGTGGTCAACGCACTGACGGCCGCCGCAATTGATGAGTTGTGCAACTCATGCTGAGATGGAGAGTTGTTCCCAGTGTTGTAGTCCACGCACATCGCAGACCCATGTATGAAGAGATTCAGGACATGTTCTGTGTGAACGACGGGCCCTAGAAGAATGTCAGCAGAAGATTAAAGACTATTCTCAAGACCGGCGCTTACCAGTGTAAAGATCCCGCGGGATCTCTTCTCTCCACTGTGCCAATCGATCCTCAAACACTTTTATATTATACCACACCTTACTGTCCGCGAAGGTGGTGATGGACCCGGTATCCTCGTCAGAAAAGTGATGTGAAGCATCCTCCATGATCGATCCCAGCTTTATCCACCATTTCAAGTTCCGATCGGAGGGCAGGGCATCCGGGTGGGTTTCTAGAATCTCAAGGCACTGGTCCATGTACGGCTGCCAGGTGACCAGGTGTATCCTCCTCATAGCCACCGACATCCTGCCGAATGTTAGCAGGCGATTCCCACACCAGAACAACCCGGATTTCAACTCACTGGACACATAAGTAATAACAGCCAGCCCAAGTCCGCCTCGCCTCCGGTCCATCTGGATCAAATGCCGGTCCCGCCGGCTTTTTAATGATCAGCTCGCGGATCATGTTGAAACTCCGTCTATTATCAGAAATGCGACGGTTCAATCCAAGTTCCATCGCCATGACTGCAGCCATGTGGGTCAAAGTAAAAAACTTGATCTCGTCGAAGTTATCTGGTGGCAGGTACCAGATAGAACAGACCATTAAAGCCTGAACCAGCTCAAGCGACTTTTGGCCTTTGACCACAACATGCTCGGCGATCAGACGATATAACTCATTCACGAGGATCGGCTGTGCATCGGAATTAAAGACGGCAACGGCAGCGGCGATGATCGCAAGGAACAAGTATGGTTTATTGCGACGAACCTCGCCCATCGTAGTCCCCGGCGAGAAAACAACAAAAGGCAGCTCTGGCGCCATTTGATGGATATACCGGTCAAATGCCGCGCTGGCAGTCTTGTAATCTATAATCCCCCGGTCGATCATATCAGCAAACTCATTCCCAGCCTCATGCTTCGGCGGCGACGGCGCAGAATCACCACCAACAGGTCTGCGCCAATGCTTGGACGCATGGCTAGGAATCTGCTCCGCAGACGGACTACCCGGTCGCGAATACCGTGGCGCCAGCAGGCCACCGGGCAGATCCTTAACTTCGCCGGTATGTTGCCGTTTGATCCCGGCCATCTTAGACTCCCCGCCCATCCACCTTCGACCAGCTAGCTGCTCATCCCGCTGCCCAGCCGGCGGCGGCTGCTGCCCCGCTCCACCAGAGAATAGCGCACCAGTCGAATGCGATGCCTGCAGCGTCGCTGTCAGCGCATCAATCTTCCTCTCCAGCTCCGCTACCCGGCTGTCGGTCTTTTTCTGTCGCTTGCGCGTCGGTGCAGTCACAACACACGTCCGCCGCGCTTTCGCGCACCGCTTGCATGACCCTTCCGGGTGCGTCGGATCTGGGTCGCAGCGCACTTTCAGCTGTCGGCAGGGCTCGCACGCCCGCGACCGTTTCGTGTCGCCTGGTGCGTCATGCGGATCTGGGGATTGATTGCTGTCTGGGCCGATCCCGAATGATGGGTGCATGTCCCCGTGCCCATGCTCATGCCCGTGTCCGTGTCCATCACCATGTGTATCGCGGCTTTGGTAGGGGTTTACAGGTGTGTGGGAGGGAGGCTCCGGGTACTCCGGGCCTGTGCTCATTGTCGGTCGGGTCGGCGTGTAAAAAGACCGTTGAGGGTCCCCGTGTCCGTGTTGCAGCTGGGGATCGATTTCCATGCAGTGCGAGCTTATAATACCGGTTCGAGGACCAGATCACTGTTACACATTAGATTCAATTCCGATTTCCGATTAGTAGAGGTAAATATTGGGTTTTCCATTTTTCGAGTGTCGTTATCGCTGACAGCTCGTGTTGTCTTGCGACGGTGGAAATGCACGGAGAACGGTGATCGCAAACACCGACCACCGATGTGGAGGATCAACATGCCTCAGCAGTGGGTTCTGTCAAGCAAGGGGAATACATAAAATAAGGCTTACCTTTCTCTTATAATACCACTTAGTCCTGTTTGACTCGCTCGTCACTTTGGGGCTGAAAGTGATCCGAGAGTGCTTTCGATTTTTGAGTTCCAACTAGCATCTTAGTGGCACGTGACCGACACGTACACCGCGGTATCTGCATCTACATCTGATTGATTTTTAGATTGAGATTAGACTGGATTCGTTGATCATCAGATCTCGATTGAGACCTATTTGCTGAGCGGGATATCAGAAACAGAAGTCCCAGACGCCGTGAGCCAAAAAGTAGAAAAAGCAAAAGGCTAAGCTAACAAAAAGATTTCTTGAAATTCCAAATTCACGCTAGATGGATGTGCACCTTATTCGGAAAGCTTGTGGACAGGGCACTCCATCTTCCTCTCAAACCAATCAACAATGCAGTGCTTGTGGAACTTGCACAGGCACTCAAGGCGGGCCAGGGCCTGCCCAACCTCGTAGTCCTCCATACAAATCGTGCACTCCGCTGCCTGGCCATCTTCACCAAGGCAATCCTTCTCTGTGGCCACAAATGGAAGCATGCGGGCTGGCGGCGGAGGGCGGGGCAGCGGAGGACTCTGTTGCGCGGATAATGTCCGGGGCGGAGCAGTCGGGCTCAAATAGCCCTCGATGCACGCCCGGGTGTGAGCTTGGCGCGCCTCGAGAGGCTGCTCGGGACTCAGTGGGAGAAATTGACGTCGGCATACGGGGCAGAATTCACCCTCATCCAGCGCAGCTCCATGGGGTGGGTTACCGTCGCGGCTAGAAAATGAACGACGTGGTCGGGCTAAGCCGGTGGCCGAGGGAACTTGGCGGGCTTGCGAGCTCAGTTCGTTCAGGAACTGTGGTCGGTCGTTTGCACCTACGGTCCGTCGCTCCTGACGAGCTTCGGGATTATGGCTCGGACCCTGCGCGCTTTCATGTCAGTCCATATTTTATTAGGCAAAGGGATAGGGGAGAACTAACTGGTAAGGCATGGTATGCGTTGGCTATAGTGGATGAAAGAGAATGAGTGGATCGGTGGCCGTGTGCCCGCACGGTATTGTAGCCAAGGGGATTCGGGTTTGGATCTGGCACACATGGATTGCAAAGCCGTACTTCTTCGCCTCCGCCAAGAGCAGGATTGAGTGCCGTTGGTCCTGTTGTTGTTGTTGCTACTGTTGATGGTGATGATAGAACAGGGCCGTCGCCTGTGAGATCGACCACCGGTGGACGGCGGGAGGAAGGCATTGGCGGAGAATCGGGGAGGTCAACAAATTCAGGAGGTCGGACAATATACTGTCTGGGAATTGTGATCCGATGTGGGGAACACGATGCACATACGACTCTCCCACACTTTCGACAGTGGTGCTTTCTGTGCCAAAAGCTGAAGACTATCCCACAGATCGGACATTCTGACACATCCGAATCTGCCTGCCATTTCGGGAGAGTCATATCCATAAACGGTGGGCGTGGATCGTTGCGAACAGATATAATGGAGTGAGGTTGATTAATCCATGGTGTTTGACTATGTCGTCGAGAAAGAACCGGCAGTTGTTCGCCAGAAGTAGAAGAACGAGGCGCCGCTGGGGGAGAGGAAGAGATATCAATTGCTGTTGCAGATGACGAGCCAGGTGTTGCAGAAATAGAAGTTCTAGTCCGGGACGAAGGCAGTACCATCGAAACAGATCTATGCGGCAAGGTACTCCTGGAGGATCCCCCATTGTCTCGGGCCGGTCCAGCCGTGCCCCCAGATTGTCCCCATTGCAACCTCGCATCCTCGCCGGTACTGGTCAATCGTCTTTTACGATCTGACCCGGGGATAGGAAAGGCTCTCACCCTGGAGCTGCCTCCTTCATAGCTGCTGTAGCTTCCAGATTGGATTGTGCCATGTCCCTCTGGTCTTTCGACCGGCCTCGCACTTGCCCGCATTCTCGGCGGGGGGCTGGACTGAATCGGGCTGGATGACGCCGTGCTTGATCCGGGCATTATTATTGGTAGGTAGACTGGTATGAACCCTCTGTGATACTCTGTTAAACGCAGGCAACGAGATCGATCTCGGCCGTTGGGGTGACAGACTTCATGAACTAGGTGGCGATGGTGAGGGAAATAGATGGCAGGGAAGTCGAAAATATAGACGTAGAGGATGGACAGTCCTTTCGCGCAAGCCTGGGCTCAGCCTCAATGACGTTGACGCTTTTTGCCGAAGATCGCATCAAGGAGAGACAGGATGATGCTTATCATGGAGCCAAGGCTGATTGGATCGGATTTAGGAGATGGATGAGGCTGAGAGTCGCGTGACTATGCTCTCAGGTGCCAGTAATGCAGTGGCAATACCAGCAGCAGATGGAAACGATGAAAAGAAGAAACCGGCAGAGTAACACTTGACTCACAGAGAAAGAGAGGAAATGGTGTAGAACATTGCATTGCATGTTTGGCCCAGATACGGCTGTTATCGTGGGGCAGGCGGTGAGGGCGGTGGCGATTGACAGTATCGGCCCGATCTGCCCGCATAACATCGGCCTCGGTTGGTTCTTGTTTTTACTTCCTGAAAGCCTCAGTTTTCTGACCTGGTTTCACGATACTGTTACTAGAGAGTGAGCCATGCATGGCGATGCAAGAGGAGACATACCTAATTTTGCTTGTCTATGTGTGAATTATTGCTTTTACCCATCTTTCAAGACATGTCAAGGCCTTGACATCACCACTAAGAAATAGCACTAATGAACAACCTTTATTAATTATGATCTCGGTACTAGTCGTCCTAAGATTGATACAAGAAGAGCGAAAAGAGACAGGTACAGAAAAAAGCAAAACCTCCAAAAAGAAAACAGCATGTGGCCCGGATTCAGCGACAGCCAGAAAGAGAACAAGAAGCCAATGGGCTCATTCCCCATTAGATGTACCTCGGGATCAGAGATAGAACGCCGTCCCAGCAATTTTAGGTAGAGACACAAAGCAAGAGATAGACAAAAAAGCAAGGAAATTCGTGATAGTGGCATCAATTCGCCAGTGTTTCTGGGAGGAGACGTGGTAACGATATCAATAGAGGTAAATGGGAAATAAGTTGGGGAGATCCATGGATAGGAACAGAGAGAGATAGAGAGGTAGATATCGAAGAAGAAGAGGAATATACTGGTTCAAAATACATGCGGCTGCCTTTTGTCATATTTTTAGCGTCCGTGCCCGCCCAGCGCAGATTCGTCGACAAGTTCTGCTGAGCTGCCTGTAAACGACGGCTCGTCGGGGCTCGCCTCGTGGATATGGTCGTGTGCACGATGTTGGGGTACATATCCCATACTCGAGGGCCGTTCCGCTCGAGGGCCCGTCTGCTGGCTCGAGGCGTTTGATCTTGATCTTGAAGTAGAGGTCATAGACAGACCTCGTTCACGAGATGGCGAGCTACTCCCACTAAAGGGCAGGCGCGCAGTGGTGGAGCCTTCTGGTTGGAGATGGTGCTCAGAGTGCACAGAGTGCTGGCCTACCTCAGAGTTGCGCGACAAAGTCTCAGTCACGACTGGAAGACCAGCGGCAGTTTCACCTGCGCCTTGTTCGCCAGGCGCCTGTGTGTGGCGAGAGCCCGTTCGACTGGGCAACTCAATTCCACCGCCAACTGACGTATTAAGTTGTGGCAGTACTGGTGGGCGTGAATCACTTGACCGCTCCGGGTCGTGGTCATTATCTGAATCCCGATAAGGAACATTACTAGTAGACACATTCCGAGAATGGCTAGCGGATGGTGTGCCTGTATCATCCTGATAATGATCATTATAGTCGCCTCCACGCGGGAACAGACCTGGAGGAGGTGCACGAGCACTTCGGACTACCTCAAATCCTTTGGCGTTGTCCTTGGTCTTCCCTTGGAGCAAGCTTCGGAACCAACCCGTCGCGGACGAGACTGGGCCCGTGGGATCGGCTGGGCCAGTTTTCAACTTCCGGGTGCCGCTATGGGAGAGCGGTGGGCCTCGGACACCGTAGTAGAAATCAACCTCGCGAACAGCATAATCCTTCGGCTTGCGGGGGGCATCGAGCTCCATATCATCCTTCGGCGCTGCTAGATATGCTGGAACAGGCGTGGCCCGGCCAGACATGGTGCCATCTCCCAGGTCGTCTTCGGTATTCACTGCTCGGCGGCTTGACTTTGATCTCAAGAAGCCCCTTGACGGGCTCTTCCCTTTCTCGAGAGCAGCACTCCCCGGGGGTGTTCTTCGCCCGGGGCGGGGTGGTCGATAGTAAGGGTCACGAGGGCTCGTTCCCATCATCGTACCACTAGTAGGCGAGCTAGGGAAGCCGGCTCCTTGGTAGGCGGTTGAGGTAGGTGTGGGGAATCCTCCACTAGCGGCGCGACTATGCGTGCCACCTTGCGAGCTAGGATAATCATAGACAGCGCTGGCTCTGCCATCACTAGCCGTGGCACGGTTCAGAAGAAGACCAGAGCTCCCAGAGAGGCTGCGGGGGCGCGATCCATCAAACTGAGAAGACATACGGTCGTCAACGTGGCCGAGCATAGCAGCCTCCGAACCCATACTCTGGCGAGTAAGATCACGCCGCGGAGTGCGCCTAGAGAGCTGGCGCATACCAAGCACCTTGGTCAAGCCACCACGAGTGGCACCGCCCGCACCAGCCAGTCTTGCCAGCACCTCGATCAATGTTTGCATCGCGTTGAGGAAGAACCCGAAGACGAGAACCATGGCGTGTAGCACAAGGATCAAATATCCGATCCACCCTCGTGCCGCATCCGAAACTGTCAATGACGGCACAAAGATGACGCTCAAAATAACTGTCAAGAAACGCACAATAGAGAAGAGGCAGTGGTACAAGTTCATATGAGTCGGTCCTGAGAAAGGCCGGAAAGCCAGCAGGGTTAGTACGGAGACAACTTCGCAAATGGCCAGCATTACCACCTGGGCGATGCCAGATGGCTGCAAAGCACCAATGGCTATCCCGCGAGCGATGTTCAAGACAATCGGAACGACACCGAAGGCTGCTGCATCGTCACAGTATGTATTATATAGCGGCCCATACAGTAGCACCGTAGGGAGATCATCGAAAAGGTGGGCCTTGGGTCTGGTGGTAAGAATCACTCGGATAACCCAGATGGAGAAGCAAGCGATAAGAACAAGCACCACGGCTGCCAAAGCAACACAGTAAGCGGTTGATTGGCGAGCAAGAACCAGTTGAAAGAAGGAAAGGGAAACGATTGGCAAGAGAAGGAAATTGAAGACAATGCGAATGAGGTTTCCCATAGTAAACGGCATGTTTCTGGCACGCAGATCCTGGTCGGTATTGTTTGCCAACTCACGATACAGCCATCGAAGCGTGAATGCGACCTGGAACAGCACCGTCACACAGGCCAGGACTACGAGCACCCATATCATCATACCGGGCCAGATATCCTGGGACGACGCCATGCCAACCAGGTGGTTCAATCGGTCGAGGCCATAAGTTCCATTGACGGCATATACACCATCGACCACGGGATCGCGGCCCATTTCGCTGCTCACAAAACTCTGGTTGAACATGAGAGTCGACCATGCTCCCTGGCTCACTGCAGGCTGGAAGAAGCCTGGGTAATCCAAAGAAAGCGAGCCGGTCAAGACGACGAATTGAAGGTATTGCAGGCAATCTGCAAATCCAGGAGTGACGAGCCGGAGAACATCCTCATCGCGGCCGTAGTTGCTTGTCCACCGAAACAGATCAGTTGTGCCCCAAGGGCTATACATGGCGGCAGCGATGGTCGCAATCCCCACGAGTATCAAGATGACAAGAGGCACATAGGCGATAGCATTTTTCAGTGATGTTCCGAAGTCTGGCGTGGCCCTCACTGAAACACAGGCGAGCTCAACCGCTGATGCATCTCCAGAGCGGAGTGTTAATAACGGTGTGATCGTTCCGAAACGGTACGTTGAAAGCATATCATGTTGAACGGAGAACGCTCGTAATTTCTCCAAATCACTCCTGCATAAGAGAAAGGGATCAGTTAAAAATCATAGAGCGCTTTCTGTTCCGGGAATAGCTTACAGGTTGGAATCGAAGACCGGACCTAACGGGAGGGTACCTTGCGTGAGTGCGTCACGGAAACGAGAGGCGTTGTGAAAGGGCGTGAAGCTGAGCACATTGAGATCCGTCATCAGCGTGCTGTACTTATTGTTGGTACTGCTCACATCCTCAATCTTTCCGTCGGTCCAATTGGGATTTGTCCAGACGGATGAATCCGGTGCCGGGTAGTTTGCGGTTCGCGACACGGTTCCCGACACATTGCCATATACGGTGACGACAAGCGGGTGTAGAGGGTTGGTAAGGTTGAATGTGACGGACACGTTGGTAGGAACGAACTGAAGTTGTAGAGGGTCGGACTCGAGGATGGTTTTCGATAGACAATTTTCAAAGTCCAATAGAACAGCAGCGGCTGGCGACGCAAAGCTCACCAAGAAAAGCAGTGCAATCCACCACACGGGGCTCCATGGTTGTGCTCGGTGTTTGGAAGTGTCGCGCCATGGCCGACCTTGCAAAATGTGTAATCCACTGCGTCGCGGCCACCTAATTTCTTTCCGTCGAGAGAATGAATATTCGTCCAGCTCGATCTCCCCCGAGTCGTACATGTCCGCTTCGGGCATCCGGGATGACCTCCTCGGGGAGGTCAACCCCCGGCGTAGATGATCGAATCCACGTTGTGTTGACAATGGGTCGGTGTTGGGGTCTCGTCCACCGCGCGCACCCCTTCCCAGAGTCGTTAGTCGCTCGTGATTGATAAAAATATCGCCGAAGGGAATGGACCAAGGATACTGAAGTCTTCCGTGATGGGTTTGCGGGTTTCGAAGTTAGGCCGATGCCTGGAGGTCCGTAAAGCTGGGTGTGTTGTAAGTCGGCCGCTAAGTCGTCAAGCGCGGCACATCCCGGGAGAAGAATCGGAAAGTCGAAGTCAGAGCAAAACACACAAGGAAAGTGGGAAAAAGTGGCTCAATTTTTGCAGTGGGTTGGTCTGTTGTTGTTGCTGCGCCTTGTTTGGTCTGGCCCTGGTGCCCAGGGTGGAGTTTGATGGCTGACTACTCGACTATGCTAATTATAGGCGGCTATAGTTACTCTTTTCTTCTTTCAAATCACAGAGATCATGAACTAAATACATGTCATAGAATAGGAAATTCCTCTTCTTTTTTTAGGGATATTTTCAATTCCACAATCACATCCACTGTGTCGGCTGGAGCCGAACCCGGAAATAAATAACCGACTCCAGACCCTTGCGTCTCTACAATATACTGTTATGTTGTCATAGCTATTCATGGACATGATATCGTCTTCCAATTACGAGGAAGCATATCTCTACGTCTTTATCTTATAATTGTCGTGTATTTCCAGGGCATTCACCCTTATATGTCTTGACCGACTCTAAATAGTCGCTCAATGTGGATTATTGTCTCACTTACTGATCGGTGACTCCGTCATGCCCGAAGCTCAACGCTTTATTGCCGATCAGTTTCCGGCAGCATCTGGCGTCGGTTATGCCGTGGAACCATGGGTTTGGAACGTCACTCTGGGGTGATATCGTCTTGTGTGGTGAATAGGTTGTGATGTGCCCCGTGAGCCTGGTCGATATTCCATCTAACCAATCAGCCAGGATAAGTCGGGTGACAACGAAAGTGTAGATAATGGAGAGACTTTCAAGATCCAGTATCCTGCATTAGCTGTCCAACTGCACTGGGGGTTTCAGCAATGGAGGTTTTCCAGTGAGACAAGTACAGTGGCGTCAGGCCCTGCTCGTATATAGATCCCGGTATGGAAACTTGTTCAAATCCCGGTTGTCTCCGTAGTCGTGCATAGTTGTTTCGGGATGATAAGACATACATACACTTCTAGAAACTTGGGAGTACTAAGTCGTGGAATATCCGATGTCTGCTCCGTAGGGCTATACAAGATAACCCAATGTCTCACTCCCTTAGCCACGTAGACATACTAACGAAAAGGTTAACGCCACATTGAGTTCCTCGTTTAACTCTCATTTTCATCGCACAAGTCTAACCCTGAAGCAACCTAGCTCCGTCAAGCAAAAGCCGCACCGAATCCCGTACGCTCACTCTCTATCTCTCCATCAACGAACTGCGCCGGTTCAAACAACATTCCTTCGTTGCTCTCTTGAATCTTCGGCATTGCCACTGTTTAACAAATCAACATATGTCCAACCATTAAGTTCGGATCTAACATTGTTACTAGCTAGTGAGTGCTAGTAGTTGTTTGTTTCGATGTCTGACCAAGCTGCTGTGTGCTTGCCTACGGCCTTGCTGTATTGAACTTTGGCTGTCTCTGTGGGTCCGTCTCAGTAACAGCTCAGGGGGTCTATACCGCTACTCCAAGATGAGAATACTGCTATTAGAGCCACGGCATAGCTGGCGACTCAAATTTTGCTGCAGGCATGGAGGTACTAGTAGGCTTAGTATCGACGGGTCTACAGCGAACCTGACTAGATAGCTTCGCACAGTCTACTGCTCTTCTGGTGCTTGAATACGTCTATATCTCTGAAGGTCACATGATGTCCACCGTAATAGGACTCTTACAGTCTGCTTTTCCTTCTACTTTTCTATGGTTCTCAACAGTCTCATGATACAGTTCTATTGTCTCATGCTTCATTATCTTATCTACTAGCCGGTAGTACTCAGAGACCTGGGAGTCAGTAAATTTGGGAAGATTCGATTTTATGATAACACGTATCTTGTCATGTGGGGATTACTATCGGCCCGAAACAATCAGAGATTATATGTACAAGGCATGCACAGAAGTAACTTACTTTCCTAAAAGCGTATGAATGCATTAATGTAGAGTTTTGGTACGGTGCGAACATGCTGGGACTTGACACCTTCTGTGGCATGCTGCAGGCCACTCAAGACCCCGGATTTCGGCATGCCAAGCCATTACCATCTATAATTTTGATATGCTTGAGATTGGACGTGCTTTATGCCTTAGAAGCCCCACTAAAGTTACCTAGGTAGGTACGATTGCATAGTGAGTAAGCAGTTACCTGACCTCCCGATGTACCGAGGCCGGGAGGATCTACTTCAGGGTGTATGCAGGCACTCCGTATGAACGCTGGGTCTCGCGTATATTAATTGTCTTGATGCGGGGTGGTTCATGCTACTTTGATCTTGAATTTCTTTATTCTTTGTTCTTTGCATATCGCGTGGGTTTCAGTCTGTCGAATGACGCCCTGGTCAGCATAGGCACTCTGAAGATCGGTCAACGAACCAGGAACTTACTTGATAAAGCAAGACATATAGCGGTGACAAGCAAAGGGCATTATAGTTGCAGGCTGCTGCAGACATCTGCAGCCATTTCGAGATCATATGCGTCGATGTATGAGTGCACAGAGTAGCAAATTAGAGGCTCGAGAAAGTACCTACACATGTAGGTAGGGACCTTGCATGCCACTGGCAACGGGAGGACCAAACGGGGAAGCCGACAAACGGGCATCTGATCAAATGCCAAATTGAGGAAGACACATTTCAGCCAAGCCTCCAACCAGGAGAGCAGCCACGAGGGTTAGGGCATATTGACAAAAGAACCAATTGATCCAAGGTAAATGGTTCCATTAACTAGATTAGTCTCAAATTTGCGGGCGCTAAGAAGCCCCTAGATGAGATTGAGATGGTTTAAGAATATTTGACTTTTACTAACATCATTGACTATGAGTATGAAGTACGGAGTACAAGGCAGTAGATCGTAGGGATACTCAATATCAAATTATACATGTAAACGATGTGATTGAGGAATATCTTTGATCTTCAAAGCTTTCGAAACTCGTCAGCGGCGGGTCCCTCGCTCCGATTGGGGTTTAGTGGAGTTTCAGTTTGAGACGAGCGGGTTGTCAATGCTGATTGGATATATATAGCCCTTGGTGGCTTGAAAGGCGTTCTGTGGGTGTTTGAGGTATGTGGGATGGTGTAGATTTATAGATATGGAATTGTAGCACATGTCTCTATTAAACACATATTAAATGTCTCTTCATAGACCTATTAATACACCTAATAACTTCCTTATTAATATTCGCTATATACAAAAGATCCACAGAAAAAGGCCCGACTCCACTGCGGCAATTGGTACCTGCGGAGTATCTCCAGGGTTTCTTCTTCCCCCCCTGATATGTCTGTACCTTCTTTCACTTCTTACCATATCTGTCTCAGGCTGCTGGTCCAGCTACTTTAGCAATTTAATCTCCGTACGGAGTACTCCGTAAGTGCTTGCTTTTAATTTGGATTTTGAAGGCGCTAATCTTTGGGATAGTTGGAGCACGGGCGCTTCGATCCCACCCCTCCTTCCTCTCCAGGGTTTGACACTTGACACTTGACACTTGACATTTTGGACTATTTTGAGACATTCGACACTTGACCTTTCACACTTCACTTCACCTCTATCTCCACCTCTCCCTCTTATACCCCCTCTTGCTCTCCCCTTCCCCCGCTATCCGATCCCAATTCTTATCAGGCCTAAAGCCCCTGTCGATCCTTTAACATACAGGGGGAGGGGATATTTCGCTGCTATCCTTGGTGTGTGTGATTGAGTGCGATGTGGACTGTGTCTACTCGCAATCTTTCCTGTCATGTCTGCCGATGACCCGTTCTCCTTTCTGCCCGCGGAGCAGACAAAACCCGCGAAGAAACCCCATTGGAAAAGCAAACTGTTCTCCAAGGATAAGAACAAAGCCGCGTCGCATCAACATCAAGAAATCGCGGACTTCTTGAGCTCTCGCACCCCAGAGTCAGCTCCCACTCCCCCGCCCATCGATCCAAGACACATCCCCCCGCAAAACGTTACTGCCCACCGCTTTCCTTCCTCACAAGACGTCTCCGGATACCCTCCCTCCACAGTGTCCGTGCCGGCGCCAGCGTCAGTGTCAGCGCCAGTCTTGCCTAACGACAACTATGTCCCTTTCAATTTCTCAGACCAATCTCATGCGGTGCTTGCCCCCGCTCCCGCCTCTGCCAAGCCCGGTGGTCGCAAAGGCAAAGGGCTGCGGGTGGGTTTCAGCCCTCAAACCCCAGAAGTGATTGGCGAAGGAGGCGATGAGACGGAATCGCCAACGATTGAGATTTCACGGGCTCGTGAAAGGTCGGACAGCAGGGGAACCCAGTCTGGCAATACCCCTACGTCCCTCTCGGACCCTTCGCGATCGCATCTGCCAAATCTCCGACTTGACACATCGCTGGGCGATGGTGATGCGCGATCCGGACAGTCGACTTATTCACCCCTGCGTGATAGATCGGACTGGAAACCCCCGCTGATGCAGAATCCACAGGATGCAGACTTCCTGAGCGCGTTGCCTTCGAGCGACAGCGGTTCTCGATTGTCATTCCGTGGTGATACCGAGGCGAGTTCATTCGCACAACGCGTCCGCGACAAGATGCAAGCGGAGGAAGGTCGCGCATTGCATCATCGTTATGAGGAAGATGCATTGTCTCCTGGAGCTGACGACGATGATATCTCAACTCCCCCCAGCCCTCCTAGCCCGGAATCTCCCATAAAAGCTTATAATCCTGGATCGGCCTACGAAACAGCCCCAACGGCGGGATCTCCGCATGCGCCGTCAATTTCTCTGTCAATGCGGTCTATTGTCGATTCGATTCGGAACCCCCAAAGCCCCTCAACACAACGCGCCCCAGCGAATCTCAGTCCCATTGACCCACGAATGCCCACAAATCTCATCCCAGGTAGCCCCGGCAAGGTTTCACCAACACAGGCCAAACCACCACCCCAGGCCCTGCCTGTATCGAACCGGGCTTCACCTCCCAGTCGCGAAGGCCAGGAGCCGCCACGCAGCGCCCAACCCCCTAAGTTCTCTCTTCGAAACGTTGCCAACCAAGTTGGCGATACCGCATTTTCCGAATTCAAAGAGTACAATGCACGATATGAGAGTTCTATCAAGCTCGCAGCAGAGGATGTTAAGCCATTAGTAGAGACGTCGCTAGCAGAATGGATCCGAGCAGCGGTCTGGTGGTTTTTGCGAGGAAAGACGCGATTGGAAGCATATGCTCGTTCCCGTTCCACACTGCCACCTACCTACGCCAAGCAAGCTGTGATCGATCTTGGAAAGGCATTATGGATAAATGAAAATATTGTGCCCAGTCATCATGAACTCTCTCGATACGGCGCCATGGGCGTTGACGCCCTACTGGCCGTTGCGAGTACCACCGGCGATAAGGAGTTGGCCGATCTTCTGGGTATACATCACAATCTCATCAATCACCTCCGGTCGCTGTCCATGTCCGTGAAACGAAACAACATCCTCGCCGTGGTTGTTTCGGACGAAGGATCTCCCACCCAGCTGGATACTAGTATCTGGTTGCGTTACCCTTTCTATGCGCCCGACGTCTCAGCAGTTTTATCTGGTGCGGCAACGAGATCAATGTTGGCAGATAACGCGGGAAAGACACCAAGTTTGGTTCACATGATGCCTTTGGGTGACACAAGTCGATACTTCAGCTATGGTAGCATGTTCGTGCAGGTCTGCGTCAGCTCCAGTGATGATGACGGGCAACAGCAATATGCCATGCCCTGCGCATTGACCATCGTCCGCGAACGAGCGGATTGGTATGTCTTTGCGGCAGTCACTAGCCAAAGTCAACTTGTCAACATTTTGATTCAGTCCGATCGCAAGCAGGGTCCGACTTGGGAGGATGTGGATTGGCAAGTCCGGTCCCATTCTATGCGAGTCAAGCTCCCCCGAGGATTCGAGTTGGACGTCATGTTCAAGGAAGACGATTTCAAGACGCTTTGGAATATCGTAAAATATACCCAGAAGTCCGAGAATAGTCTCCATCCGGAGGCAGGTGAAACCGTTGTATTTGAGAATACTCTGAAGGTTTTCCAATATATGGATCCTGGTACACCAAAGGCATTCCCTCCTGACCCTACAGAAAGATGTCGAATCCGTCTGTTCGAGCGATCTGTCACTGTGACAGAAGGCACTGGTACTCGCAATGCGCATCGGGGATTCCGACTAGCTGTCCTAACAAGCCCTAAGGTCAAGACTTTGAGCAGCATTCGGCATACCTTAGGCAACGGCTCACCGATAGTGTTCGGTCTCTTGCGAGGAGAGGATGGTGCTCCCGCTCTTCTCCTCAAAGTGACCGAGGACGGCCGTACGAGATCCATGTTGATGACTTTCCATGAGGTAGCTGAGCGTACGAAAATGCATTCCGTGCTGCTCGGCATGATTCCACGGGAGGGAGAGGTCAAGTCACCCGAATTCGCCATCCAGTCTTATTGCATTGAACAGCCAGAAGATCCATTCACCGGCCAACCCGCGGTCAAATACCTCCAGTTCCCCGCCGGAAGCGTGTCAGTTATTGACCAAAAGCATGCTTACGTCGACCATGGTTATGGACCGACGATTCTATCAGAACATCTGAGGGCCTTTATCGCCACTGAATGGGGCTCTGTGACGGATCGCATCAACTTAGGTGGGGTTTCCCTAGATCCTCGTGTCCAAATGGGTTGCTAACTTTGTCCAGGACCTGGTGAATTGAAAATTGGCTTGGACGTCCAGAGCAAGACGAGCATGAGCTTGTTCCGCTCCGCGCAGCAGGATCTGACCCTTTCGCTTGCGGATAACCTCATCCGCCCTGAACTGCCTGGGCAGTTAACCGGCTTCCTCGAGAAGATTACGGCGAAGCCTATGATCCGCCGGCTGGACTTCCCCACCATGGAGGGTATGTCTGCTCCTGACATTTTGTTTGCTTTGCTAATCACATTCTAGATCTTCATGCCTTCGAAGCAGCTGTTACCGGCTTCCAGGTGCTTTACGATGGGTGAGTCCTATCATATCCATCCAGCCCCCTTAGTGAAGACCTTACTAACCAAAATAGTATGGCTACATCGTTTACCATCTCCCGCCGACGGAGTATGGTTCCCATTTACAAGAAATGGGAAGCTGCGGTGGCACGGGTCCAGATCGTTCGACAAGAGAAAGTTGTTCAAATGCTCGCTTTTTTCGGAGACTTCCAGCATGGCACATGTATGAACTTTGTTCTTAAGGGTACTGATATCATGGAGTCCTTTGGCCGGTCCGGCAAGTTCGGCATTCGTATGGTAGATGCCAAGTTCGCACTGCCGAAGAAGGACGATAATCCAGCTTCCAACTTTGTGTGCCTCGATATGCCCGAGTATCCCATCGAACACGACGATCTCACCATTACGTTCGATACAGAGGCTTGTGAGTTATATATTTGCCCAGGTGCCTTGTATTGTCCTTTCGCTAACTTTGTTCGACAGCACGCGCCAGCTTCAAGGCAGCTCTTCCTGGATCAGTGCGAGAACCATCCCGCATGGGCTCCATCCGTCGATAATCCATTTGTTCTCCATCTCTAAGGTCCTGTCTACCTCCCATGACTTTCCTCGCACGTGACCCATTACGTGATTTCCCCTACCCCTCTCCCGAGATCGGAACCCGCACTTTCTGGTGTATCATAACTTTTGCTTGACGGGCCCTTTTTCTGTGCATACAATTCAAGAACCAAACATAGCATCTTTTATCATGTCGCATTCTAGCGAAGCCATTGGCGCGTCCACGCGCTCTCTGCATGCCGATGATGCCCTGAACCTTGTTACTGATGTCGCTCCTCCTATGCATCTCTCTACTACATTTCGCTATTCCAATGATCCAACCCAGCTAGTACCGGCTGCAGATGCCACCCCTGTATGGATCTCGACTCGAAGTTCTGTGTCTCGTCACCTAACATGTATATCCATTGTAGTCCGACTTTGATGCAACCTCCCACATCTACTCGCGCATGTCCGCACCCAATCCTACGCGCTTCGAAACAATCCTCTCCTCCCTCCTACACGGCCAAGCTATAAGCTACTCCTCCGGCCTATCAGCCCTACATGGCGTTCTCACTCTTCTCAACCCCCGTCGCATCTCCGTCGGCGAGGGCTACCACGGCTGCCACGGCGTCATCGCCCTCTTCACCCGCCTAACAGGCCTCCAAAAGCTCCCCCTCGACTGCCCACCTGAGCAACTAGAAAAAGGCGACGTAATTCTCCTCGAAACACCCGTCAACCCCCAAGGCACCGCCTTCGACATTGCCTCCTACGCCGCTAAAGCCCACGCCCGGGGTGCATACCTCATCGTCGACAGCACCTTCGCCCCACCAGGCCTGCAAGAGCCATTCAAGTTCGGCGCAGATATTATCATGCACTCAGGTACCAAGTACTTCGGCGGCCACAGCGATATTCTGTGTGGTGTCCTCGCCACGAACCGCGACGACTGGGCCGCACAGCTCAAATCCGACCGTCTCTTTATTGGAACTGTCATGGGTAGCATGGAGGGCTGGCTGGGTGTCCGCAGCCTGCGCACATTGGAGATCCGCGTCCAGCGTCAGAGCGAGAATGCCACCCGTCTCATCTCCTGGCTTGATGCTGCTCTGCATGCACCCAACCCCATGGCTGACAGCGACGAGGCAGCTGTGCAGGCTGTTCTTGGTGAGGTGCTCCATGCCAGTCTGCAGAAGGTCGAGGGTGACTGGTTGAAGAAGCAGATGCCTAATGGGTTCGGACCTGTTTTTTCTATTATTATGAAGGAGATGCGCTTTGCTCGTGAGTTGCCGAGTAAATTGCATTTCTTCCAGCATGCTACTAGTCTGGGCGGTGTTGAGACGCTTATTGAGTGGAGGACTATGACGGATACGACAGTTGATCGGAGGTTGTTGAGGATTAGTATTGGGTTGGAGAATTGGGAGGATTTGAAGGCCGATTTGGCGAGGGCATTCCGTGAGCTTGCCAAGTAGATTTGGAGATTATGAACTACATACATAGAATGCATAGGTGATTGTTATTATGGAAGTATACACTTTGAATCGTATACACGTGAAATACCTCTACTACTCCTCTTATTTTACCCCGCATTGGGCAATTCTATTGGTCATCCTCTAATCTGCCTATCTGACTTCTTCCCACGTATACTCAGCTTTCAACAACCTGTCATTTCAGTCATTTACTCAATTCTCTCCAATTATACCCATCATGCCGGAAACATTTACAATCCACTACTTCGCAACAGCGTCCCAATACACCTCCAAAAACACGGAATCGCTCCGCGCGCCCCTGAAACTATCCGCTCTGTTTGGCGAACTCGAGCAGCGATACCCTGGCATTGTTCACAAGGTCCTGTCTACTTGTGGCGTTAGTCTGAACGGGGAGTATGTTGATGTCGAGGAGGATGGGGAGATTGTTATCCAGTCTGGGGGTGAGGTGGCTGTTATTCCGCCTGTGAGTTCGGGTTAGAGGTTAGAGGTTTTCAATTGAATTTGAATACTTCTATGTTGGATGCACTTTATGAATCTTTATCTTGATTTATTCTATCGAATTATTGATCGCTACATTTGATTTTATTTCGTCTGAAATGGGTTATTAATGCACGCATTATAAGAATAATCATAAAAAGAAAGACATAAGGAAACAATCCAACCTGTCCTAACCTTCCCTTCCCAATATAATCCCAACCATCTGGTCCATTACTCCAAACTCTTTACAGCAGCAGGCTTCTTCTTCTGCAGCCACAAACAGACATTGCAAATCACAGAGAAGAAAAAGAGAATACTAACCAAATCCGAAGTCAGTAAGAACCCATCAAAATCAAACAGATCAAATTCAGAACTCACCAAAGTCCAATACTCAACCCCCAAATAGCCTTCGTCTCGACACAAATCGCCTTTGAAGCCCCAATCCATGAAACATAATCAATCTTCCCACTGACGCTAGCAATATAACTCGAAAGTCGAGACGCAAATGCATACGACGTGGCATCCTTATCTCCCAGCTCCGCCAGCGTCGTACACTTCAAGTACGAGAGCGGCTTGCCGACGATGACGGCAACGACAATCAGCGCGATTAGAAGCAGTGTGTCGAGCACGGCGCACGCTAGGAATGGGAGAATGTCGTCTATGTAGAGGATTGTGGTGATTATGCAGTAGATTGCTGCGATGCAGGTCTGTGGGTTGGGACCTGTCAGTGGGATTGATATTTCTGGGCCGAGAGGAGGGGACTTATAGACTTACCACGCTGATTGTTCCGATTAGGATATTTGGGGGTGTGGCGTTGTTGTTTATTAACACACTGATGAATTTGGCTGTCATGCCGATTATGGCGATTAGGGAGCAGGCTTGGAAGAGGCGGGATAGTTGGAAGGTTGCGCCGAGGGCGCCGTAGCGAGGAGACATTTGGGAAATGAAATTGGTTGGAATAGACTGAATGGAAGTAATGAATGGTGTCGGAGGGTCAAGTGGTCGGGCTGAGGTATATGCTGATGTATCGAGAGTGGACGGGATGAGTCGAGGATAGTATTCAAGCAACGATGCGGTAGATATATGTATGTGAAATGAAAGGCTTTGAAAGACTAGAAGATAATAGACAAGACCCAGGAACAAAGGGAGTGTTTTCTGAAAGAAAGTGAAGCTGATTGTGAGATAGAAGACCAGGCTGGTTCCGGCTCTTTATATAGATATCCGAAGTCCAGACCAGACTAAATTAGTATCAAATCTAGACTCTCTCGATTCTCCAAGCCGGGCTATGTCTTTGTGTGTTACAGATTGGAGTGTCCTCATTGGATCGGCTTTCATTGAGCTGGATACAGCGATCGGCATGAATGGTAGCTTAAGATAGTATGCGATCGCATAGCTCTTTGCTAAAGATAATATACTATTGGAAGAATGCTTACAATAATATAATAATATATACAATATAGGTTCGATTGACGAATCCACCCTGGCGCTTGGAAGAAAACCCTAACTCGCCCCGGGTGGCTCTCAGCCACTCGTTCCCTGGGCGTCTGCGAATCTGAAGCAGGCGCCTACTTTTGATCTAATTATTGACTAGGATGGAAAATGCACAGTAGATCACGTTTCAGGGCATTGCATCTAGCCTCAATATTCGGCAAGGGTGTTATTTTTTATTTTTTTTCCCTTGGAGCCGCTTGGCAGGGGTCTGAGTAACGGGAAGTCATACTACAGAACGTGTCATGGGCGGATCGTCCACGCATCTCTTCCCAGCACTTTTTTCTCGAGTCATATAGTCATATAATAAAAACCAATTGATTAGGTCTTCGTAAATATAATCATAGAAGAGATAAATATATCTAATGCGTCTAGACCGGGTCCTTTAGTCCTTCAGCCTCCAGCCTCCACTGGTCCGCGTCTGGAAGAACCCTTCGGGATCATACGCCTTTCTCGTCTTCAGAGCAAGCGCCTTGGAGCCAGGGCTAATACGGCCCCAGTAATCCTGGCGGTAGTATGCGTCGTTCATAAACAATGGTCGATACACATCGGGAAGAAGACCCTTGTCGATATTCCTTTGGACTAGGTTGCCCATCCCCTGGTAGAGCTCGATGATGGCTGCGTCGACCTTGTTGTCGTCGACTGATAAGCCGTAGGAGAAGTCGAGCTCAATGACAATGTAGGGTTGATCCGAGGGAATGTCCAGGAGGTCCTGGGGGTTTGTCAGTAGAATGATCTTCCTATTTCTTTCATTGGGAATGGAATCCTTACTCCACCGCGGTCCTTGGCCTTCTGGGAGAATGTCGTGGGCAGGGGCTGGAAGGCAATTGAGCCCAGTATCCCGGCCACTTCTAGTACGGACCCGGTCACATCGCGGAAATGCTCGTAGTACTCCTGGAGCGGGGCGGTTCCCACGATTTTGTTGGGAAGGGGCGTGGTCTCGGTGGCGATGTTGTAGCGCTGTCCCCTAGTAACCAGTCAGCAAAAAAAATTAAGGATTAAGACTTGCTCGTTTTACTTGAGAATGAAGAAGTCGTTGTGCTTGAGTAGGTCGTAGTAGGTGTCCCAGGTCTTGGCGGTTGAGGTGTGTTCAATATCAGTAAACTCGTCGAAAACTCCGGAGGGGGGCTCGGGGCCATCGTAGAAGAGGAACAAAATACAGAGGTCAAGTACAAGACTGCGCTCGAATGTCACGATTATTGCCGCCTTGTCGTCGGGATACTCGTCGGTGAAGTTGCGCACTGCCGTGAGAATCTCGGGTGCTTTGTCGGCTGTGTAAACATAGTTGCCACCCCAGACCTTGTGGTCTTGAGGATGAGTCTGCATGGTGTATGCAGTAACAACTCCGAAGTTGTTGCCGCCTCCCTTCAAGCTTTTGAAGAGGTCTGTCGAGTGTTAGTGTGTCGACAATTTCAAGTTGATATAGTATCACTTACCTGGGTTTTCGGTTTCGGTTGCGTGGACAATAGTGCCATTCGCCAGGACAATTTCGAAGTCCTTGATATTGTTTGCCGCCCAGCCATACTGCGTACTCAGGAAACTCATACCACCTGTAAATCATTTTAGAAAAACTCAGTGCAGATTTCTGAATCACATACCTCCGAGCATATATCCACCGACTCCAACTCCTCCCATTCGACCTCCGACGATGGTCCGACCAGTTCCTGCAAGGCCTTGCTGGGCCTCTTCCCATGAAAGCCCAGGACCGATAACAGCAGTATGATCCTCGGGGTTATAGTCAACCTGATCCAGATTCTTAGTCGAGATCAGCAATCCGTCCTGGACGCTAGCAAATCCATTGTTGGGGTTATGGCCTCCGCTCTTGATGGCACTGCTTAGGGTTAGCCACACCATTGCTGTTTATGCAAAGAGAGAACGAACAAGAGAGTCTCCACGTCGTGCAAGTTCTTGATAACCTGCGCCATCTCCGACGCACTGGACGGAACTGCAATGCATGTTGGCTTGAGCTCACCGCATGCCGTGGACCAATACTTGGTCAAATCGGTATTGTAGGCCAATGAAACACGTTTTTCGATATCAATGCCGCCAGCCTCGAGTGTCGCGCATATATCTGCCATTGCCTGGGGGACAAGAGCCAGGGACAGCGCCAGAGCGCGCCATCCATTGCCCGAGAGCATGTTGTCAAAGGGAGTAGACAATATTATAAATATAGTACGGCAAAAACATGCAAGAGAAAGGAATACTATGGGATGATCCAGGGTCAGAATGTATGCCCCGACGAATATACGCACTCGAAATCAGTTCCACAGTGCGACCTATGGCTTTAGTTTATATGATCCTTCGATAGCTTCGAAGGTTCGGCTTTGGAGGCTCCATAATCGGAGGGTATTCTTCAAGCCACTGAACCCACCCCTCTTGAATGGTGGACCCAAAAATGAAGGAGACCGAGCCACAAGAGCTAAGAGAAGAATCCTCTGCGGAGGTATTGTTTAGGGACTCCATTCCATCCATGTCGGGTCGGACCACGCGGTTCCCGATTGGGCAAGTCCTCCTGCTCGTGGAGTCCGGAAAAAGTCACAAGTAGAATATCAATTTGTAACGAGTTCATCACCGTGCTCGGTGTACGCATTTCACTGGGAGTTCACTTCTGCGCACTCCGCAGACAGAGTGAATGGAGGCACATGGCAACGGAACGGGCAAACACAGACCTCGGATGCTCTGTGCATGCCTCTGTTGGATAGGTCGTCCGAGTCAAGTGTGTCTGCGCTCGGACCGAACTTTGCATAGCCGAATGACTATTTTGCGCTCACATACAGGCATCGGATATTTGGTCGCCTAATTTCCATGCCAGATATGTTCGACAACATAGGGCTGGGACATGCAGCAGCAGGTTCTAATCTGGCAATTTCCTTGTTAATCGGCTAAACTTGCGGAATGAGTAGAAAGGCAATAACCTTGTCGGAATCAGCCCAGTGATCGACAGATCATCCCTGGGGGACGTTGGCGTGCCACTACTCCGTAGAATCAATCGCTATTCCTGGACAATAAACGAGGCTTCACTGGAAGTTAGTGGTACTGACCCAGCCGGCCACAATAATTGGACAAAATACTCCGTATAAAGTACATAATTGATGTTGTTCATAGTCGAGAAATCAAGTACTCCTTAAAATGAAGTGAGGCGAAAGAGGATCCGCAAGTGGAACTCGTCCGGCTTCACTCCGTAAACCGCCAAAATTGCGGGGGACTGCCCCTGACACACTGAAAATCCGTCACGTCTCGCTTAAGCCAATTAGGAAATGATACTCGTGGTAATCCAAGTTTCTCTGTGGGCTTTCGCTAGATCGACAAACCTCTGTCAATAATCCTACATATTCGATTCATATGAAGCATGCGTTCGCTCCGAACCGGGGGCCGAGGTGAGCACATTCATGTATATACTCCGTAAACGATAACGAATACGTTTCCTCCCCGCCAATACGCAGTGATCTTCGTCAATACTTTCAATTAGAGGAAAAATAGTTGGAGATCATGGGGAATTTGGACCAACGCGGTCATGCTGAAAGTCGTTTCTTTGCGAAGTCGGAGAGGTCGCGCATTGGGACTTTCAGAGCGAGAGAGCAAGGTACGGAGGTATAGCGCAATCATTATGGGTCTATGTATGAACCCTGCGCAGAGTAACCAGTCCGATAGGCTGAACCAAGAGCATGGGTCAAATCGCCGACGTCTTTGCACACCCCTGTGTTGAGAAGTGCCGACGGAGCTTCGGAGATGTTCACCGGGATAGCAATGTAGGAGCTTGGCGATTTCGCTGGCCGCCTTGATGGCTGATGAATTTGGCGTTGTCTGCTTGTCACAAGTCAACACACATTTAGCTTAGGCATTTCCTACAAGTGTTTTCAATGAAAGAGGAGGTGAATTCACTCCT